GGTAAGAATTCCAAAGAAATTGAAAAAAAACTGAGACTTGTTTTAGGGCTGCCACAGAAAGACTAAGTTTTTTGGAGCACCCGACTTAGAAGTGCCCGGAAGTGCCCTTAGTGTTCATGAACGCCAGAAAAATGATGCGAATTTCTTCCAGCTAGAAGTAATAAGGAGGGTGCCACTGGCAACGCCTCTGGCATTGCCAATGCCAAGTTTTCGATGCTGAAAAATCGCCAAAAACGAAGGCCCTGCGACTTTTGATCCTCTCATTGGAATCATTTACTGGGATGATCTTGGGATTTAGGATCTATGCAATCTCTGCGTATCAACTGGCATCCCATCATATTTGGGTTAAGGGTTATAAGTTAGGATCTATCTCCTCACCATAGACTCTATAACTGCATTGTCATCCGAGCATTCATTGATGGTAGTTAAATCATGTTACATCCCTATCTTTATGCCCATATAGAAAATAATTGTCCACGTCAGAATCGCCACAGATTGAGGTACGTCCCATTTTCAGGCAAAAGCAGTTCCCTTCAAAACCGCTAGAGATCAACATTCTCAGAATCAAAAAGGAAAATTAGACGGGACATTTTAGAACTAATAAAAATCAATAAGAACAAAACCACCAACCTCTGCAGGCCTTATGGTTCCCCAACGCCGTCATCCGCGCGTTGCGGCTGCGATGCGCCGCCGCCGCCAACGCGTCGCGCTGCCGCTCGCCGTGCAGCGCCAGTTGCAGGGCGTCGGCTGTGGCGGCGTCGCTGCAGAGCGCCACCAGACCCCGAGGGCCCAGGCGTTTCAGCTGGGCACCCGTCATGGTGGAGGGAATCCGCACCTCACCTGGGGCTGAAACAACTGGGTTGAAGGGGCAAAAAAATGATGGGCCAAAGGACCTCCCAGCCGCAAGATTTCTTGCAAAAAAAAAAACGGGTCTTCCCACTTCCCCCCCGAACCCCTTCCAACCCTTCCCCCTGGTGCAGTTCCACCTAATGATACTAATGAGTAGGTTATATAACCATAGGGGTTATATTCCAACTCATGGAGGCTATTACCATAGCCATAGTCATAGCCATTAACCCCAACCCCTTCCCCCACCTGGCAGCTCCAAGGACTTCAGGAAGTTCTGCAGCATCTTGGCGTCCCAACGGTGGAGGTCGTGCGCCTTGGAGGCTGTCCACTGCTCTTGGCGCCAGCTGGTGAGCACCTGAGTCGCCTCCATATCCGCGTCGCGCAGCACCCAAAGGTCCTGGCACGAGATCACGACGGAACCAACGGTGAATTTTATGAAGTTGAGGCACATAACTTGGTGAACCTTTGGGCCTTTGGGTTTATAGCTACCACGACCTACCTATAGTCCATAGATGGGTGAGACCTTTACCACCTTTTTGGGCTGGAGCTCTGCGACGAAAAAAGAATTACTTCAATGGCCACGGGATGGGGCTATGATAAAAATGGTTGGGTACCAAAAATGGTTGGGTAATTTTTGGATAACACAAGCTGGGTACCAAAAAACCAAAAGGGTACCCGGATGGACCAAAATGGCAGTCCCAACGGTCCTCTTGCACCTTCACCTGCGTCGCTGTGGATGGGAGGTTGAGGTTTCGCCCAAGAAAAGGTGCTTCAATGCAAATGGATGTTTCCTAACATGAGGGTACCCCCAAATCATCCAAAATTAGACCATCTTAGTATAAAAACCTATGGTTTTGGGGATCCCCCATTTTGAGGAACTGCCCAAATGCAAGTCCGATGATCGCTACAACTATTGGCAGGCTGACGAGGGAATCCCAATCACCATCCCATAACTTGTCTCGAGTCAACCGCCTTATGTTCACCCATACCGCCTTCAATTCGCGATGCCATCGGGCATCAATGAAGGTTTCCAGCTTGGCGCTGTCGCCTTCGTATTTCTTGATGATGCTGCCCCCCACCTCCATTGCTGCTGAAAGTAGAAATGACATCGTGCGCATCTATTTAAAAAAAAAAAACGTATATGATGGAATTCATTAGAATGTGGATAAAATGTGGAAATGCCGAAACGCCCCGACGAACATGGGAAAATGAGTGAAACTATCATATTCCATCTACAACCTTGAGGATATTCCAGGATGGTCATACATTGATATATGAATAATACAAACATAATACAATATCTAGCATTTTACCGTTTGGGGGTTTTCAACGTAGAAACTTGTGAGTAATTGTTGAATAGAGAGGGTCCAGGTAAGACTAGAAGCTGCGACTGGGCAAACATGGTGGGAAATATGGATGAAACCTGGAGGAAGGGGCCCAGAGATAGTTGGCTTACGATTAGGCCTAGGCCAAGGCTAACGATTGGAATTGTGGAGGAAATATCTATGCTGTAGTTGAAAGAGATTATGAATCAACTTCTAACTGCGGCCGGGGCCTTCCTGTGCTCGCTTCCTGTACTAAACTAGTCCCGGGCGCAACTGAGACATGCGTTTGCTTGTAGGTGCGATTCTTGTTTGTTTATGAATAGACCGCCAGATCTTGCTGAACACTCGAGTTTCAAACAAGTCTGATCCAAGGTCAACTCTCTAGAGTTCAAGCTCCTGTCATGTCATCCCCCACCTGCGTCTTCATCTGAAAGGCGTGTAAGTTCAGCTGCCCCTTGCGCGCATCCTGTAACTTGGAGTGCAAGGCCCTACCACGTCCCTGCACGACGTCGAAGCCGCCAGCCGCGCCACTCGTCTCACCTTCAGCCACGGTCGTCGCGTTCACCGTGTTATCCTCCCAGGCGCGGGCTGAGCGCATCATCCCAACCTGAGGCAGAAAGAAGCACACCCCACATATGCCAACATTCTTCCCCCATTTCTGATGGATTTCCATGTCCGAAAAATTCTGATTCCCGGGAGATTCCACCAAAAATTCTGCAAAAAACCAGGCCACGTGCTGCAAGGTGTTTAGTGAGTGTTCCACATCAGTGGGTGAGGGAGACAGGGTCGCCACCACCGTGGTCTGGTGTGATGGATCTGTAAAGGAGCTTCGCAGTAGGTGGGTCAGCCTGGAGCGGCGGAAGGGCACGTGCAGATCCTCCGTCTTTTCGCCCAGTTGCTTCATCTGCTTGTGCATCACCCTGGACACAGGAATCACGTCCAAGTATCTCAGGTCTAGATATATATATATATATGATGACATTCAAAAATATTCAAAACAGAGAAGCAACCAAAAAGCAACTATACAAAAACTCTCCAACATCCCCTCCTGGCGCACTCCTTCAACATCAGCAGGGAGTAGTTGATCAACCCCCCGCGTTCCGCCATGGATCTGCTGTGCATCTGCGTCTCGAAATTCCTCTCCGAGCCGGCCAGGTCCACAATGCGCAGCAGCCCCGGGACGGAACCGAGGGAACCGGAAGGAAAGTGCAACTCCAAGATGCAGTGCGACCTGGAAGATGCCTCATGGGCCACAGATCCTAAGGTTAAAAAGTGGAGAATGTGTCGGATTTATGGCAGATGTATCACTATAGTTGGGTGGGAATAAAGAATAACTCATAACTGGGGAGCACCACCTTGCACGATGGGGCGTGAAAGCTGCAACGGCTGGAGATTTGCGCTGCTTGTTGGTCTATTTGATACCATTGTGGCTGGAATAGGGACCCCTGTTGAAGATAGGCGCCTTTAGGTGGCACAAAAACCGCTTGGCAAACAGTGATGAACTGGGCCCAAATGCTCAGAATCCCTCCCAGGGCCGGAACATGTGTTATCCTTTTAATGAAATGGACCAAAACCCTCATGCGCTGCAGTTCACGTCCCAAAATTGGGGGTTTTCCTCGATCCAATCTGGGTGCTCTGCGGTATATTGAACCATACATTTATTTTTATATATATATATTATATATGTTATATTATATATATATATTATTATATATATATATTTATTTATTATTATATATATTATTATATATATATATTATTAAATTATATGTTATATATTATATATTATATATTATATATTATATATTATATATTATATATTATATATTATATATCATATATTACATATTACATATTACATATTAAATATTATATATTATAATTATATATTATATATCATTTATTAAATATAATATCATGTAAAAAATATGTATTATATATTATATATTATATTATATATATAGATATAGATATTATATATATATTATTATATATTATATATATATTATATATATATTAAATTATGTTATATATATATATATTATATATATAATATTATATTATATATATATATATACATACATTATATATATATAGGGTATTCAACCATATCCCCATAGTTCATGGGGAAAACACCAAGACCTGAACCATTTCTGGGCTTTCAAAGAACCTTCATCTTCCCATCCCAATTTCCGGCTATCAGTTCACCTTTGGGATCTGATTCGGAAAGTCATAGGGGGCCTGACTCATCCCCCAAACATTGGGCCACTGAAACCATGTGTTTCTTGGCTTCAAGACCCATCTGGTGTATGTGCTTTGCAGAATTTGAGTTCTGGTTCCTCCCACTCAAATATCAACAACAAAACGATCTCTATATATATATATATTTTTAGAGAGAGAGTATAATTTAAACCCTTTGAAATCATCGCTTGTCATGGTGGATTTAAGTGATTTAAGTTATCCAAATAACCCAAAAAACGAGATGTGCAAACCATCGATCCGTTGCCGCGCCCGGTCCCGGTCCCGGCCTCGTTGCGTTCGGTGCACTCCGAGGACCGCCATTCGAAGGCCTTGGCCATGGCCTCCTCCAGGTCTTGGGCACTGCGGCACAAAACCTGGCCAGAAAATGTCCGGGGAATCTTGGATTTTCTGAGAAAAAACAGTGGTGAAATGGTTTATCTATAAAATCCAAGTCAAAAACTAGTCGTGGGCTTCGGGTTTTTTGCGACGGTACCAGGGGTTTTTTGCGACGGTGCAATGCTAGAGGGGTTTTTTGCGACGGGGAATTCCAGAGGGTTTATTGCCACGGTTCAGAGGGTTTTTTTGAGACGGCTAGGGAGGTTTTTGGCGTTGGTGAACCAATTGTGAAAGTTTTTTGCGACGGGAAGTGGAGAGACAGGCATTGCGACAACGACGGCTAGTACTAGTACTAGTACTAGAACTAGAACTAGAACTAGTACTAGTACTACTACTACTACTACTGCTACTACTGCTACTACTGCTACTACTGCTACTGCTACTGCTACTGCTACTGCTACTGCTACTGCTACTACTACTACGACTACGACTACGACGACGACGACTACTACTACTACTACGACTGCGACTCCGACTACGACTACAACTACAACTACAGCTACAAATACAACTACAACTACTACGACGACGACGACTACTACTACTACTACCACTACTACCACTACTACCAGTCCAAGCAACTCAAAGATGCGCCACTAGTTACCCAGCTGTTCCACCAACTGGGGGCACAGCTAGCACATTAAAGCATACGGTTAATGGGGTTTTGAAACACCCAAAACCTTTCAAATGCACTGTGGCCTCTGCAGCTTGCGAAGAATGTTAGAGAAGCTTCAGCGGCCTGGCTCACATGATCAAACTAAGCTGGCATCTTGGCATGTGCAATCCGACAAACTCCGAAGTTACACGTCACCACCCGTCCATTCAAACTGCCGACACAAATTTCGCAATCACTTCGCACGCAAGCAGCCAAGCAAAAGTATTCTTTTTCTACCGAAGCGGAAGGTTCACAATACTTGGCCAGATGAGCTTGCAGCGACACAGTATCATCAGTACTTATCATCTTCTGTATACTCCGTTTTTAATGTTGATGCAGCTGCAGTCAAAGTGCAAGTTCTGAACGGTTTGGGTTTGACTTGCGTTTCCTTTCCCATAGCTGATACTGTGACATGCTATGCTCGCATTGGATTTCGCTTTGGTGCAATCTTAACACCAGCTGAACGAATCGAGCGGTGCCGCCTCACAGTGTGAACCGTGCGTTTTTTGACATGGTGTTTCCGTACCTTCATCACATTGGCAGCATTCCACTGCCGGACCTGCGCCGCCTCCTGCACTCTGTCCTTGTGCAAAGGAAGATGTGCCTTCTCAGTGCCTTTGCAGCATGCTTTCCACTTCTCATCCGGCCAATCCTCCGAAGCCAAGCACCGCGCCAGCAGCACTGATTCGCTGCACTGCTTGATTGTAGGGAAGCAGGTGGCAGCGTGATGTGCCACCAGCTTGCCGAATTGCATGATTTGAAGTTTCAATCGCAGAGTGCTTTGATGCAGCGCATGATTTGTCCTTGACCACGCATTAATTTCAGCATGTAGTGCTTCATTCGAAGAGGTTCCGCTTGGTAACAAAGCTCTCTGGGCCGGAGTCATGGCATGCCGGACTCGCAGGTTGTTGAACAACCATTCCATACGATCCGGTGCTGCCGCTGCCCACAGAATTTTCCGGACTTCTTTGTTGGTACCGGTGACTCTTCGGCTCACTTCATTAGGGAAACAAGTGCAGATGGCTGCGAGCGTTTCCACGAATGTGATTCGGGAAAGGAGTGGTGTATTTGCATCTAATGCCTCTAGGATGCGTTTGGCCCTGGCTTGACTCATGCTACCGTCCAAAATTTTTTTGTCGGGCCTGCTCTTCTTCCCTGCTCAGGGCTGCGGGCCTCAAGCCGGAAAAAAATGGGCCCCAAGAATCCATGCTTTTGGACAGGTCTTGCTGACCGCATTTTTTCAGAAGATGCCTGAGCACCCTGGAGCCCGCAGATTTCTTGCCCCACTGGGCGTATTCGTACACGATGGCCAGGTGCACTGGATCCAATGAAATGCATTGGAGATGCCTGCAAACGGCTTTGATCTCCCGGAACAGTTTCAAAGATGGACTGTCGCTTGCAACAAACTTCACCTGAGCCAGAGCGATGGGTGAGAGGTGGCTGGTGAATGTTGCAGCGACTCTGTTGGCATCTTCATGCGAGATGGGGACCATGCCAACGACAGCACCTGTGCGGCCCCTGATTGTCAACACACGTCGCAAAGAACTCTCATCGTCAAAGCAGGCAGCATTGCGAACAGCGGCCGGTGCTCGGTGGCTGGCTTGACCCTGGATGGTCATGCACACCTTCAACGTGGCATCAACTGAAAGAGAAAGGAACTCCCCATTGCGTTCCAAACTCTTAAAGATGTTCTCACCGATTTCCTTCACATGATTGGACATGAACACGTCTTCGATGAGAGGCCACCAGTGACGGGCATGGGAAGGGTAAAGCATGCCGAGCACGTTCCCTGACTCTAGGGCACGCAAGTGGAGGCGAGGCCAGATGCTTGCAACCTTGATTTGCCACTCCCATAAAAGTTAACAACTCAACATGAACAAACAAACTTGTTCAAATCACAAAAGGACTTGACAGCTGACAAACCCGCACGCTAAGCAAAGGCCAAGGCTCGTTGGAATGATGCAATACGATCTCTCGAAGAAGGATTTCGGCGAAGGATTTGTCATAATAAATATTCAACACCCGTCTGGCAACAACAGTCTCTCCAATGGCGTCTGCGTTGACATACATAGGTCCCTCTCCAGAAAACACGAGCCAAATGAATTTATCTATGCCGTTTTGCTGGCAACTCAGCGGTGGGGACACTTGCCTTCGGAGAAGTAAGGAACTTCGGAAAAGATACTCTGCGCCAAACCACTGCTACCACTGCTACCACTACCACCTACTAGTACTACCAGCTGGTAGAACTAGTACCTGGATCTGCGAAAGGAGGCGCAGCGTTTTTTGCCATCTCGACCCGCCGCAACTATTTTAGACGCAGCACCACGCGCAGCTGCGCAACACCACACCTCGTGCACAACATCTGCAACACCATCTCTTCCACAACAGCACACAAACAAGTCAAGGTCTATGAGCGCCTCTTGGCTTCCCACTCGAGGTGGTACTGAGCTTTTCTGCCACGGCAAGGCGGGCGCTATGCAGAGAAGAAAAACCATGTGCGTATGTAGGCATCGCACCCTGCCCGGACGATGCAAAGGAGGACAGCAGAGGAACGAAGAGTAAAAACAAGGGAGACGCAACACATTGCCGGGGCGCCTGCAAAGATGGGACAGACCTGGCAGCGCCACTTGGACTAATGGTCGCAAACAAGATGATACAAGTATTAACCCAAAGCAGTGTTGCACTCTGCTAGCAGCGGCATTTTTTGTTGGAACTCGCTGTTCCGTGGCATTTGTCACTCTCTGGAGCAGAATGTTGAGCTGCACTGTGTCTGTGCAATATTGTCGATCCATCTTTGACTGCAGGACCTGTTTGCAGCAACTATCGACGTGTTGCCGCGTCAAGCCGTCTCTTGCGCGGAGGGGCGCCAGAGTTGTTTGGGCGGCCAGAACATTTGCGGCTCATGGGCAGATCGGTCAGAATCACGGGCGGCTGGGGAAGATTCGGGAGCGCCAGGCTGCGAAGGAAAGTCGAATGTTCACACTGCGCATGCATAGCCGCAGCTGGGCAAGAGCAAAGAACTGAAGCCGGGTTCACTCTCAAGCAAATGATGTCTCCAAGGTGAAATTTCAAGGCTTGCAAACACAAGTTGCTACCACCACTGAATAAAGCCGCTAAACTTCGAGCACTCAAAGTCTCTGGGCACCATAGAGTTTGCAAGACCTTCAAGGCAAGGCTGCGGTTCAGTGGAGGGACTGCAGCTGTGTTGGCAAAAGCAACCCAGGAAGAACCACTACCGACAATGTTGCGCCATTGCTACCACTACCTCGTCGCGGGACACCGTCGCAAAAAACCCTCGCCGAACCCTTGCAAAAAACCCTTCTCCGTGGAGGCTGTCGAAAAAAAAAACAGACTATCTCGTAAGGTTGCTACTGTTTAAAAAAAAAAATGTTACCGTCGCAAAAAAAAAAAAAAACCCTCCCAAAAACTAGTGCTAAAGTATAAATTTTAATTTTAGATCGGTTTTAATCTGTTTGAGGGGGCAAATCCAAACTCAAATTTGCTAGTTTGCATCATTTTCTGCAATGGTCAACATTTTGCAAATGGGTTGTTGTTTTTTTTTGGATTGCATGTTTTCTTTCCCACAGTGAAAGTTGCTGCATTTTGTGTTTGTTTCACAGTTGTTGCACATGCTCATGTTCCCATAGAGAGGGGGGTTCTGTCAATGTTCCTGTCAATCCAATTCAGGGATATCATAACCATGATGACATCACGGCAAAATCTTGGAAATGCAAGCAATTCTTGTTTTTTTTGGGCAGGATACGATACATGCTGCCTATTCTGATAAGTGGTGTATATCGGCCACCTCCTTTTTTTTGTGCTTAATTCAAGATGACCCCATTTTGGCATGGTCAACCAAAAAACCGTTTGTGTGTCTAGTGGTAGATACCCCAAGTTTAAACCACCACTTGGATGTGCATCCATCTATAACTAGAAGGCTACCAGAGCTTTTAGCCACTGCCCAACTGGAACACACAACTACGGCAAAGTATGTTTTGTTCCATAATTCTTTTCAACTTGAGGTGGTTGTTTAATGTTGTTTACCCCATCAAGATCCGTTCAATCGCCTTAAAATGCTTGGTTGATCCATTCTATCCGATTCTATCTACCCGTCATATCCATGATATCCATCACATTCATTCTATTCATGATATATATATATACATATATATATGTATATATATATATATATATCCCCATCAGCCACATCTATTCTATCCCCATGATACATCTATTCTCATACCCCCCAAGTATCACTTAAACGCTATGCAACCACAGATTTTTGTATGTGTTTAGTACCATCTAATTATTGGAGATTATTGGAGTATTTAATTTTGACCACCCACCATCGCCATCATCACCATCCCCAATCAGATCATCGCCTGCTTGGCCCCGCGCACGTGCACGTTCCCATCCTCCCCCGTGAGACACTTCACCTGCGCCCGATCCGCCAGCAGGTCGAAGAAGGCCTCGCGGCCACCGCGCGTCCCGGCCATCTCGTAGCAGCACAACGTCACCTCCTGGAGGCTGCGGTGACTTGGGCAGAATTTCCATAGGAAAACCAGAGGAAAACCAGGTGATTTCACCAAGATTTCACCATGGATTTATAGCTGATTACTTTGTGATGTTTCTTGGTTTTTTTGAGCCCATGAATGATAGTGAACTATTCCCTGTAAACCGTAGTTCACCAAGTCAACTGTGCGTCAACTTCGCCATTTAGGGGCCTCACCTTGTACTTCTTTAGATCTTCGTTATTAGTTTGTGGATGTATATAGATGCACATACTATCTTTTTGTGTATGTTACATACATGAATGCAGTGCATGTATATACGGTATGTAATATTATGTAATCAAGTAGCCAATGAAACTGGCGATCGACCAAAAACCACGCGAGTTTGAATCAATCCAACTGGGATCCATTGCAACGAAATGGAGATACTTCACCAATGAAACTGACACAAAAATAGCCCATGATTCATGGGAACGTCACCAAGCCAGAAGCAAAAATGGCAAATGTTGACCATCAAGCATCATCAAACATCAAAACAAGACGCGCCACTGGCGTCCTGCGTGTTTTGGAAGATTTCTTCTGTCATGACCTGCTCGGTGGCTTCCGTGGATGGACTTGGCCCCCAAATCAGTCGAGGGTTCATGCGATTTGAAGAGAACCCTTGCCCCTCCTGCCGCTCAATTGTGATATGGAAAATCACCATCTTTAATGGGAAAATCAACTATAAATGGTCATTTTCAATAGCTATGTTAAATTACCAGAGGGTAGATCATGTCATAAGAAAAAACTGCACCCCAGATCCACATAATGATCACTGAAACAGGCGTGTCAATTGTCACATGCTTCTGAGTGCTGGCGCAGATAGAAACCAGCCGAGTTGGGAATGGCTGCAACTCTATCTGCGGGCCTAAGATTTCACATTTTGCTGGAAGTCCAAAATCCGGAAATCGCAGTAGTCTCAGTAGTCAAATTCACTGTTAATTGACATTCATGTAGTGAAAATTGACATGATGTAATCAAATCCACTGTTAATTGCCCAATTAATCCACTCTTAATTGACTGTTAATGAACATTGTATCCCCAAAGTCCATTCTTAATACCAAGACTGAAAAGGTGGTGCAATGATTTTCCAAGCTATAACCTCCACAAATAGTGTCGGGATTTCCCAGCAACCCACCATGTTTGATGACACTGAAGGGTGTAATTCATCATCATCATCATCATCATCATCATCATCATCCCAATGATCATCCCAGTTGTTATCCAAATTATTATCGCAATTATATCCCAAGTATTATCCCAAGATCATCCCAAGTATTCTTCCAGTTATTCTCCCAACCATCAGGGTTGCTCTAAACACCCCCAAAAGCCAAAATTGCCAATTTTCCCTCCTTGTAAATATCATTTACCTACAATAGCTTGCAGCAATCCTGAATGGCAATCGATCAAAAAGCTGAGCCGATTTCTGGAGTGGCATTGGTATAGCATTAAAGGTTCACAAACTGCATCAACGACAACACTCCGTTTCCAAAAATCAAATAACATGAAACTCAAGTTGTCAAGTTTGCAATGCAGCAGTCACACTGATAAGAACATGAATGACGACGGTTTGTCACATTGATAAGAACATGCCGGTATCTAATGCCACTGACTGACATGCATGCACGAGGTGAGCAGTTGAGCGGTCTGACATCAGACCTTCTATTTGAAACTATGATAAGGTGTTATCATTACGGTTCCCTACATGAAAGCCAACAAGTATTATCAAAATTATCCCAACTATTATCCCAAATAATCTCACTAGTATTCTCCCTATCAAATCCCGCCATCTATAGCCATCCCTATGTTGCTTCACCACTTCCGCCTCCAGCACTCCTCGTGCAGTGTAAGTCTTCCCGGTGCCCGTCTGGCCGAAGAAGATCAGCGTGGAGCGTTCACCTTGCAGAGCCGATCGCAGTAGAGGCTGCGCCGCTTCCTGCCACACTAAAACTTGGAGAAAAGCCATGGATTTCATGGGGATAACCCTGGGAAAAGCCCTAAAAAAAAAAACATGGGAAAAAATCACGCACTGGTTATGGAGATGTGAATGATTGGTGGGAGAATCATCGAACTATGGCTGCTTTGGGGATTTTCTGTTGAATAGATATGCCTATCCAACAATATATGGACCGACAACCGACACTGAGCAATATGAACATTAACAACTCTATTCAACATTAACATCTTCTTTTTGCAAATCTTCCGAATTGATATGATTGATATGTCAGTTCAAACTCCTGATTTTGGACCAGGTCTGCTGTGTATAGTATAATCGTAGAACCCACAACAAATATCGAGAATCAACCAATAGGGTATTGTCATAGCAGTACCAAAACTCTATGGGAAATTCTCGACATTTAATGATTGATATGATTGGAATGGGGATTCCCAGCTGGTTGTGAGAAATTTCATTGTAGAAAGGGTAGTAGAATCCCCTGTCATCGTCAATCAACTGCGGCTTTACTGCTCAAATGGATTGGATGGGATGGTGGCCAGGTTCTTTCAATCCATATGATCCCATCTCGCAGCACAAGTGGCGGGTTCAACCAATAAGATATGGATAGTCATAGTCCCATAGTCCCCTCCCACCGATGAGAAGAAAGCTTTTGATGGGCCGCTTCAATACTGAACCATGGCTTCTGAGGAATGGATGGTTTACACCCATAGAAGACTACAGTAAACCCCCGATCAGCCGCTGCCTGATACACTTGCAGATTGCTCGCATCTTGCGGAAAGACGCCATCCAGACAGAACCTGGAATACCACATATCTGGTTGCTATTAGGAATTCATCCCAATTGATTCCAAAAAGAATGGATGAATATGTTGCCTTTTTTGGGGTCATCCCAAATATCTGGTCGAAATTCAAAAATGCCTTCGAATCAAAGATATTTTCAGAAAAAACAGTGAACAAATGTCAAGTCCAAATTATTAAAAAAAACAAAAAAGTCCAAGCCTGGAATGGTTGGTGTAGATGGTTCTTCCATCACGATGCACTCGGCCATCATGCACGATGATGGAGTGATTTCCTCCCTCGGAGCTCAGCGATTCATAGAGCTTTTCGTCCACCTCTGAGAGCTGCAGAGGCCGAGTGCGTGCCAAGACTCGGAAACTGCTGGGCCGCGTGCTGGCATCCTGATTCTCCTGGCAGTTGGTGAGATCTTGGCTGGCTATGCCTTGGCAGTTGACATTCCAGTTATAAGTGGATAGGTTTCACCATAGTTGTGAGGCTTATATCCCAACTTATGAGGGTTTACAATGTTTACAACCATATTTATACCCATTTATAAACCTCAACTGCACTGAGGACCCTGATGTTTTGTCAAAATGAGCATATGAAGATCATGTGGATATGCAGATATACAACCAACATAATTTGATATTTGGCTATGCTTGAAAATTGGCACAGTCCAAGTCAACTAAGTTGCCATTTTGATGAGGATCATGATGACAAACCTTGGGATAGGGAGCTTCGAAAGAATGATATCTGAAAAAAGTGATCATGGAAAAAAATGCACAAGACATACAAAGAAATGCTCAACACCCCCAGCAAATAAACAGGTAGTTCACCAGATGATTTCGATAGCACCTGGCCCAGCTTCCCAGGTCCTTCATCACTGCCCCTTCCCAGGCAAAGCGCGCCACTTCATCATCATAGAGGTAGGAGAGTGGTAGGAAGGACAAGCCGTCCGGAAGATAAGCGTCCAACCCTTTCCTGTGCGGATGGATGAGGGATAGATGAAATTTTCGCTGAAGATGTTGTCCCATAAAATCTGCCAAAAATCTTCCTGTAAAAGGTGTCCGTTTGTGTTGGTGGATTTCCCATTTCCCCAACCCTTGGGGCCCGTGGAGTCCCCAGAATATTTCATCAGCAAAGTTACAAGGTAGCTGCTGCCAGCTTAGCCCAGCGATAATCTCTCACAGCTTGTTGGAAGGCCCCACCAAACTGTTGCCGCGCTGCTCGGGCGCAGACCAACTTGTGATTGCTGGCCATGGCAGAAACGACGCTTGAAAAGAAGTTATCGAGTTTGGTGTGGATAAGGTGCAGGTGAAAATTAAGGTTCACTATGGTTATCTATGATTAACTATAGCTTGTGGTGAATATCACTGTAGTTGTTGTAGAAAAATGGTTATATAAGCCAACTAGTTGTGATATCTCAAGTTCCATTGCAGTTCATGCCGCGTTGCTGGCCTTTTTTCATAAAGCTTTTTGATTGAAGCCTCATCGAATCTCCCAAGATCCTTTTGAGTATGGCGGCTACCTTGATGAAAACCAGACTTTTCTGTGCCGGCCGTTGAGTTGGATCCATTGGTATAACTAGGTCATAGCATTCCGTGTATATATATATATATACACATGCGCATATATATATATATACATATATATATACATACATATATATACATATATATATATACATATACATATATATATATATACATATATATATATATACATATATATATATATATATCCATATGTATATATACATATATATCCATTTATAGCTGGAACTGCACTTCCAAGTAGCCATCTTCCACCAACTTCCTGCAGGATTCAACAAGTTTGCACAGGCTGCCAGTGTTCAAAGCGCCTGATCCTCAGAGTAGTTGCCAGCTCCCTGCCATGCCTGGGAAAATCGAGCCGGAGAAAGTTTCCCGATGGGATTTCGTCCTGACAAAGTGCAAACTTTTAGGCAATCAACAACTTCGAAAAGATATTGTGAGGCACAAATTCTCCAAATATAGATATATATATATATACTTGTTGGTTTTCAAAAGCCCTAAAAGTTTCTTGTTGGATCAAATTCTCCAACCTACCCCAATTTGGGGATCAGCAAAATCTTGACCCACAGCCTGGGGCTCATAGTAGCCACCTGCCACTGGTGTCCGTGGTATCCCCCAGGTGAAATACTTGTTGGTTTATAAACCAACAGGTATATAACTAGTTCGATATATCTACCATAAACATAGATAAACATCCATAAAACCCTGGAGATGGATAGCAAATCTGTCTGAAAATCAGCTATGGAAAATGGCAAGCGCATGCGGTGCTTCTCCAAGACTTGGTCAAACAAATCCATGGTGTATCAACATCTTTCCCGCAGACCCCCGATCTATGGACAAAAATAGATCAGAAAAGGCATAGGTTTCCCCCCATTCTGGTTGGTTAGTAACCCCCGTGTTTGGTGCAAAAAAAACAAATCCTTGATAAATTTGATCATCCAAAATAGGTCAAACTCAATTTCTAGTGATATTTCACCACCATTGACCCCACATGTGCATCATTTTGTGCATCTCGGGAGTAACCTGAGCCTCCATGTCCCCCGTAGGCAAAATGGCAACCTGTCCGTTTTTTGTCGGATCCAAGGCTAAGCTGCTTGAGTTTTTTCACGCCCAATGGGACTGATGGCGCTGGGTATAATGATAGGGCGCCCCCATGGTATAGGAATGGGGGCGCCCTACCATGACCCCCAAACAAAACGGTTGATCTGTGAGTCTGCGAGGCTACTGAGACTGAAACCGCTGCTTTGCTCTCTCCAGCAATCTTGCGGTTCATGCCCCGTGCATCCACCAACCATCATCCATTCACCATGATTCATCGTGGGTTTATCAATTATATCGCCAACTAAAACTTGTACTATGCGGATAGATCAAAACCTATCAAATACCAAGTCCAAGCTAGCAGTTTCTGTGAACATTTAAGAAGATTCCATGGGTTTTGATCCATTGGTTTCAAGGTGCTTTTTCAGTGAACTAATACTTGTAGAACTGTATTAATATATTGGTCATTATATGTTTTTATAATGACCTCTATATATGGTCATTACATGTTTTCTTAATGACCTCTATATATATATATATATTGGTTTCTATATGGTAATATGATGCCTATGGATGTCACATCGTTTCACCTGCCTCCAGCATTCATCGGCGCGGACGGCGCCAGGGTCAACGGCCGGAGGCCTGAGCATCATGGGGTTTTTGGCAGAGTTACCGGGTAAACTAAGAGTTTGCTATTGAAAATAGCCACAGAAATAACTGATCTATCCATTAAACATGATGATATTCCATAGTTTTGTTCGTTTGCCAGAGGGTAAGTCGGGGGGAAAACCTCTTTCGGAAAATTGAGTCATGGTGATGTGGCCATTCAAAATAAGGACTGAGTCAACAAAGCGGAAAGGATTTAACCATCGAACATTGAGGTGCTGTCATCAAACAACGCGATTTTAATCAATACCAATTGCGATATCAATAGCAACAAAAATAGAAACTCAAAGGAGCAGTTAATACCAATATTTTGGGGCTTCCATTTATATCCAAACATTGTGGGCATAGAAGCGACAATAGTGGTATGTAGGTCGATAAATCCACAAACATCGAGTCATTCTGCCATTGATAGCAGGAGCTCATTGCAGAGATCTCAGCTGGGCATTTTTTTCAGTCAACTTCTTGGGCCCCGAAAAATCTTATCAACCATGGCCAGCGTCAATCCTGGTTGACATTACCTGATCTGTATATATATATATGCATACATTTATAGATACATTTGTTTATTTATCTATTTACTATATATATATATATGCATAGATGTTCAGTAAACCCAATAACGAGCTCGAATTGGTCATGTTTTCTTTTCATTACCACTTTCCTAAAATTGAGGGGTTATGTTCAGCACCTTGCTGATCCAAAACTTCTGGGTACCCCCAAAATCCTCAGATCATCGCTTTCCGCATTAAAGTTGTTCTATTTTGGGATATATCAATGGATTGGTTTAAGGAAAATTTCACAGGAAAGCCCTATGATCTTCATGGGAAAATCGATGGTTTCCGGCTTCGATTTCCCCTAAACCCATCCAATCCGATCTTTATCACCATTACCATTGCATAGGAAAATCCCCAGATAATCTAATCCTATGCAATGTGATCCAAAACATTACAAAAACATTGATAAAACATGCATCATATCTATATCTATATCTATATCTATATCTATATCTAATCATATATACATATATATATATATCACCATGATCACCATGTTTTTGGCATGTCACCACAGATCCTTCGATGGGAGCCTCAACGGTCACCGCAACGGTCACCCAGCTACGAACCAGTTGGCAGCGATGCGGAAAAGGGGCTGAAAATCGTGCGCCCCTCAACTGGGAGAATCATCATGTTCCTTATTCAATGATACCAAATGATAAATGATACTAAAGTGATGATGATACTAAGTGATGATTAAATGATACCAAATGATACTATCACTGATAAATGATACCATATTTGAACGATACTAAGTGATACTAAATGATACTATCACTGATAAATGATACCATATTTAAACGATACTAAGTGATACTAAATGATACCAAATGATACTAAATGATACTAAATAGTTATAATTGGGGGTTTACGCCATTTTCACACATGCCCAATTGAAAAAAAAACATGCAAAAAAGGAAACTGATGAAAATTCCACTTGGAACTCAGGTTTTCGTCTGGCTATCCGTGCACATGTCTTTCATGGCAAACGCAGCCTGCCTTTTGTTGACTTTCGCTGTCAGGTGAGTTCAACGCCCAGGACTGCACATCATAGGAACAAAACTTAACTGGACAATCTTTAAACGACTAGTTGTTGTTGTTTTCTTTTCGGAGGGTGTGGCAAGTGACAGCCCCAAAACAATAAGTTGGCTGCAAAATTTCTTCATCCTCACGCATCATCCTCTGGGTCCTCAGCAGGCCAACCAAACTGATACTATTTGGTGAGGGGATGTTTTGGGCAATTACACGGTTCTTGCAATATGTTCCATGTGCCTGTATACACAATCTGTTTGTACAAATGTGTGTGTGTGTATGTATGTATGTATGTATGTATGTATGTATGTATGTATGTATGTATGTATGTATGTATGTATGTATGTATGTATGTATGCATGTATGTATGTATGTATGCATGCATGTATGTATGTATGTAGGTAGGTAGGTAGGTATGTATGTATGTATGTATGTATGTATGTGTGTGTATGTATGTATGGTCACCGACAGAATTATGGAAGAAAAAAAAACGTTCAACTTAGACAGGCGGCGCCTGCCTCCGATTTTTCCATAATTGGATTTTTCCCCATAAGGGTTCAAAATATCCCGGAAGTGATCCGAACCTTTTTTTTCTATAATTCTTGGAGGTGGCCATTATTTCCATAATTGATTTTTCCTGTGAAATCAGGGGACTAGGGCAGATTGACCGGTTTTTCCATAATTATTTTTTCCATAATTAATGTTTGGGGCTCCACCTGTTGGACATGTCATGGATCCACAATTCAAACCCGTGTTTTTTTGGGGTTATGGAAATATGTATGCAAATGCAAGTATGTAGTATCAACCCAATTGGTGGCTTGGCAAAAGGAAACATCCAGATATTATGCATATCAATGGCAGGCTTTAGGGGCATATACCAGATCTTTAGGCACACATTTTCCACAATTCAATATTGCCCCTTAAAATGCATTCAAATTGCGAACATCACATGATATTATGTATATCAATGGAAGACTTAGGGGCATATACCAGATCTTTAGACACATATTTTCTATAATTCAATATTCCCCCTTAAAATGCATTCAAATTCCGAATCGATGGACATACAGTCACCGACAGAATTATGGAAAAAAAAAATGGAAACAATAATTATGGAAAAAAAAGGTTGTTAACTTTTCTATCATAGACAGGCGGCGCCTGCAAATTGAAACGTTTTTTTTCCATAATTTTGTCGGTGACTGTATGTACGTATGTATGTATGTATGTATGTATGTAATGTAATGTAATGTAACGTAACGTAGCGTAACGTAATGTAACGTAACGTAACGTAACGCAACGTAACGTAATGTAATGTAATGTAATGTATGTATATATAGGAATACCATGAAAGACCTGTATTGTATCTTGAGACATATGTACTGTACATATAAACATCAACATGCATGCAAACCAACATAGACATGTGCAAACATACCATCT